GTGCAAGATTATAATAGTTTTGGATTTTTCATTATAGTTTAGTTTTATTTAGTTGTGACATTTTTTCTTTTAATTCAGTTAGTTTTAGTTAGTTTTGTAAAAAAATTATACGGTTTTAGTTAGTTATCGTTTTTTCATTTTATTAGTTTTTATTTATTTCAGTTAACTAAAATATTTTTTCAATTTCTGTTTTCGTTATTTAGTTAGTTTTAACTATAATAACCCTGGTTTGGTGTCGTTTATTTTATTAGATGATTTGAAGTTTTAAAAAACAAAACAAGTTGGCAATTTCTTCATTTAACAAACAGGGGTCACTGTAGCATGTGGAAGAACCATACACAGCCACAACCTGGCACTTCATCATACTTTTTAACCTGATGAATCAGGTAAATCACAAGTTAAATTCAAAGCTCACAAGCCAAATCTGGTATTTTATGYGTAAAATTCAAACTAGAGCACAAASAGTGACTGGATAATTCTGAATACCTGTGTTCGGTGAGTCTTTCTCTCCATTTCAGATTGTTTCTGCCAGAAGAACTAAAAACACAGAAAGGGTTGGAATTATTTTTTACAATATTACGGTCACTTATTTATGCTTTTTTTCAGTGATTATACATACTGCTGTGATCCATCCAAGCTGTCAACATCCATGTCAGTGTCTTCAGAAACATCTGACTGTTTGTCCGACGCTCCGACTGCTTGGCTGTACAGACCAGCAACATCAACTACAGATAAAAAAAAGTACGCATCACTAAAAATATTTCAGTTAAAAACTCTGTAACTTATGGTACTGTCACTAAATACATTTTGTATAAACGTGTACAGTGTATGTTTTAGTTATAGTTACTATGTATGCATATGTTTGTTGCTGTGATTKCTCGTTTTGTTTTTTCTCTTTCTGCAGCTGTAGAGGCAGACCTATAGGGTGTTTTCTCTATGCTTCTTTCTCCCCTCTACTCACATCTCCTTCTTTTCCTTTAAACCTTTTCCCCACCTATCTCCCTTTCCATTTAAGTCCATTAAATTAATTAGAGAAAAAACAAATTCAGTTATAACCTTCTCTTAAARTTATTTTGCAAAATCTAAGCAAGTTTTGAAACAAAACTTTTACTGACCTGAATTCCTGGCATCAGCCATGTAACTTGATTCATCCTCCTCTGCAAAAGACTACAAAGTGCATTACCAATGTTTKCTTTATTCTCTATACCACAGATGTCCACTCCTGGTCCTTGGGGGCCATGATCCTGCATGTTTCAGTTGTTTTCCTGCTCTTTAACAAGTCTTCACGTTCTTCAGAACCAGAATCACTCATTCATTCAAATCAGGGGGAAGACATCTAACATGTAGGGTAGTGACCCCCTGAGGATCAGGACTGGACACCACTGCGTACGTTTTATTTATTTTATTTTATTGAACCGTGTATTCTTACCAGGATGAGGCTGAAGAGATCACTGGCGTGGGCACTCTCCTGCTCGGTGTGAGGGTCTTTGACCTTCACCTCGTCCGATCGCCGCTCCCTCACCATCAAGCTCTCGATGTATTCCTGCAGCCACAGTTCACATTACGGGTTCACTGAAGCTGGATTATTTTCAATCTATCCCCGGTGAGGAAGTGTTACCTTCAGGTGTGAGTCGACAGTATTCTGGAGCTGGGCGGTGAAGGGTCGACGCTGGTAGAGTTCTCTCATCTCCAGAACTTCAGGGCAGCTCTGAACACGTCGATGCTGAGCTGCAGAACTGCTGGACCCCTCCCTCAGGGTCAAACCGACCCCCGTGTCAGAACCAAACGGGGGACCTGGGCTCTTTTTCTGGAATGAAGAGAAACTCAGCGGATTGATGCTGTCCTCTGTGTTCGTTATGTTTAGTTATTTCAACGTCTTCCTGGATGTTTTCAGCATATTATGTGTTATTTTAGCCTTTCTTATAGCAACATGTTAGGCTAATTAAGGAGAAGGGTGGTGTGATGTTTAGTTTATGTGACTTTTATCATTTAACAATTAATMAACATACAAATATTTTCCCTAAAAAACAGGTTTTTTAAAACAGTTTCAGCATAACTACCGTATTTATTCATGTACAATCCAATCTCATGTATAATAC